CCCAAAGCTTAATTGACCTTTTATTACCTGATGTTCCTGAATTTTCCCTTACAAGTAATGATAGTGATGACTACTCACAAATAATTTGACTCCCCAAAAGGCTGCCTATTCTCATTAAAAATGCTGAAGAAGCAGAGGTGTGTATAAACTTCAATTATCTATATTTCATCTTGGAATTTCTTCTCAATATTTACATTTGAAGATGAGTTTGTTGTGCGGGAAATTAACAGTATTTCCGACATACTAATGTACCTTTTTTTAAAAAAAATTTTTATTGAATCATATTTGATTATACATATTTTGGGTTCAATGCTGACATATGTAGGTCAAATCAATATTACTATCATATATATTGTTACAAATTGTACTTATTCTTTATGCCCTATCTCTCTAGGGCCCTATCTTTAGGTCCAATCTCTCCCTATCCCCCTCTCCCTCCCCACCCCCCACCTCTGATAACCCTAGATTTCCTCTCTCCTGAAAGAGTAATGGTTACTCTGTTGACTTGTTGCCTAGATAATCTGCCCAATGCTGAGAGGTGTGTTCAGGTCCCCCAAAATTACATTGAGCATATGCTTCTTCTGTCACTCTGGAGTGGAGTTTGTGGAGAGAGACACCCTCCTCTTTTCTTTGGTCTCTGCTGGTGACTCTCCTTGTGTCAGTGCACTCCAGTGGCTGGTGGGCCATCTGCATGGTGGTTGTGGCATCTAGCCACTTTTGCGGCAGCCATGGTTATTGTGGTAGCTGTAGTGGGCCACCCACATGGAGGTGATGTTTTTGGCATGCTCCTTGGCACTGGTGGTGTGCCTGGTTGTGGGAGGGGGGGAAACCTCACTTTTAAAGTATGATTGTCCAGGACGTAATCCTCTCCTTTATTTCCTTTTCCCAGTCGGTTCTTCCCATCTCCACTCTCTAAACTGGGACTACAGTTGCTGTTAAGAGTATAATCATGCAGACGTAGTGCAATGGTTTAAGAGCATAAGCTCTTAAGGGAGACAGTCCTGAGTTTATGTCTTGTTTTTAACATCTACTGTGGATTAGCTGTGGCTAATTTTCAGACCTCTCAAACTCTGTTACCAATATGTGTAAAATGAAGAAAACAGTATCTCTCTCTAATGAGGGTTTTTTGACGAGTAAATGGAATAATGCACTTAAAAATTAACACAATACCTGTCTCATTAGCTCTCAACACATTTTAGTTTTTGTTGTTAAAATAATCATCAAACTGAAAATATTTTTGTGTCCGATGTATAAGGAATAGTGTTTAGATAACATTTAACCTCATTTTTACACTCTTGATCAGAGCTATTTTCTAACTTGGTGGGTTGTGCCTTCTGTAGGACTGGACAATTATTACGATGTTGCATTTCTATTTAAAATGTCTTTGTTATGATCCAAAAGCAATTTAAGATCCAGTTTATTTTAATAATGTTAGAATAGATAAGGTGTAACTACAATTTGGTAGCAACGTTGAGGCTAATGAACATCAACAGGATTTTTTTATCTGATGTGCTCTTGATAAAAATTGAGCAAAAATGGGTTCATGCAAATGCATAGCAGCATAATTAATCCTTATGAGGTATTTCTTACCAATATATTCTAATGTTTGTTTAGTCATCTCCAGTTGTGGAGTAATAATTCTTTTTTCTTTTTTTCTTTCTTATTTATTTTTTTAATTTTAACTTCTCAATATATATTGTAGTTGATTTCTGTGTCCCTTTACTGGTTCCTCTTTCCCTACTCCCTCTCCCCCGCCAACTACATCATATCTGTTCACTTGTCTTAACAAGTTCAAGGAATCGTTGTGATTGTTGTATCCCCACCCCCACCCTTTATTTGTTTGTATATTTATTCATTTAATTATTTATAACTCCCACAAATAAGTGAGAACATGTGGTATTTCTCTTTCTTTGTCTGATTTGTTTCACTTAATGTAGTTTTCTCTAATTCCATCTATGTTGTTGCAAATGGTATTATTTCATTCTTTTTTAGTAGTATTCCATTGTATAGATATACCAAAGTTTCCTTATCCAGACCATCTGAAGATGGACATTTGGGCTGGTTCCAACTCTTGGCTATTGTAAATAGTGCTGCAATAAACATGGGAGTATGGGTATCCATTCGCATGATGATTTCCATTCTTCTGTGTATATTCCCAGCAGTGGAATAGCTGGGTCATAGGGTAGATCTATCTGAAATTGTTTGAGGAACCTCCGTACTATTTTCTATAAAGGCTGCGCCATTTTGCAGTCCTGCCAACAGTGTATGAGAGTTCCTTTTTCTCTGCAATCTTGCCAACGTTTATCATTCTCAGTCTTTTGGATGTTAGCCATCCTAACTGGAGTGAGATGGTATCTCAGTGTGGTTTTGATTTGCATTTCCCAGATGCTGAGTGATGTTGAGCATTTTTTCATATGTCTGTTGGCCATTCATATATCTTCCTTTGAGAAATGCTATTCAGCTCCTTTGCATATTTTTTAATTGGGTTACTTGTTTTTTTGCTGTAAAGTTGTTTGAGTTACTTGTATATTCCGGATAATAATGCTTTGTCAGGTATATATTTTGCAAATATTTTCTCCCACACTGTTGGTTGTCTTTTTGCTTTGTTAATTGTTTCTTTTGCTGTGCAGAAGCTTTTTAGTTTGATATAATCCCATTTGTTTATTTTTCCTTTGGTTGCCTGTGGTTTGGGGGTCATATTCATGAAGTCTGCAACCACTCCTACTTCTTGGAGTGTTTCCCCTATGTTTTCTTTAAGGAGTTTTATTGTTTCAGGATGTATATTTAATTCTTTAATCCATTTTGAGTTGATTTTGGTATATGGCGAGAGGTATGGGTCTAGTTTCATTCTCCTACATATGAATATCCAATTTTCCCAGCACCATTTGTTGAAAGGGCAGTCTCTTCCCCAGTGTGTAAACTTGGTGCCTTTGTCAAAGATCAGATGGCTGTAGGTGTATGGATTGATTTCTGGGTTCTCTATTTTATTCCATTGATCTGTGTGTTTGTTTTTATGCCAATGCCATGCTGTTTTGGTTATTATAGCTTTGTAGTACAGTTTAAAATCAGGTAGTGTTATGCCTCCAGCTTTACTTTCTTTTTTTACTCGTAGTGTTATGCCTCCAGCTTTACTTTCTTTTTTTACTCAGGATTGCTTTGGCTATGCATGGTCTTTTGTTATTCCATATAAGTGTCTAGATAGTTTTTTCCATTTCTGAGAAAAATGTCATTGGAATTTTTATGGGGATTGCATTGAATCTGTAGGTCACTTTGGGTAATATGGACATTTTCACAATGCCAATTCTTCCGATCCCAGAGCATGGGATATTTTTCCATCTTCGTGTGTCCTCTTTAATTTCTCTCAAGAGTGGTTTGTAGTTTTCTTCAGAGAGATTTTTCACATGCTTGGTTATCTTTATTCCTAAGTATTTTATTTTTTTGTTGGCTATTGTAAATGGGCTAACTTTCTTGATTTCTTTTTCTGCATGTTCACTGTTGGAGTATAGAAATGCTACTGATTTTTGTGTGTTGATTTTATATCCTGCAACTTTGCTGAAATCATTTATCAACTCTAAGAGTTTTTTTGTAGAGGCTTTAAGCTGCTCAATATATAGGATCATATCATCTGCAAACAGGGACAGTTCGATGTCATCTTTTCCAGTCTGGATGCCCTTTATTTCCTAGTAATCATATTGAGTGATAGCCATGCACTGTACTAGGCATATTATTTGCATTGTTTCATTTTGTTACCTCAAAGTAGTTCCTGTTCTCCTGATTTTACAGATAAGCAAATGGAATTTGAGAGGGGAATAAGGGCACATGCCTAGGGGATGGCAGAGATAGACTTTGACTGACTCCATTGCCCATTTACAGGGGGAGGTACAGCATCTTTGGCACAAGTTCTTTTTTAGGCAGACATTATCATGTGTAAATTAATGAACACATTGTGAAGATCTGTACTTGAGGAGTATGGCCAGACGTTTAAGTAGCAACTGGTTTTCTCATTTTCTTCAGTTTATTTATTGTGTTTTCTTATTGTATTAGTCTATTTTCTGTTGCTTATAACAGAATAACTGAAACTGGGTAACATATAAAGGAAAGAGATTTATATCTTACAGATCTGGAGTCTGGGAAGTCCATGGTCCATCTGGTAAGGGCCTTTTTCTGTTCTGGGAACTCTGAAGAGTTCTGTGGCAACACAGGCAATCATATGGCTAGAATGACAAGACAGCTTTCTTGTGCTCTCCTTATAAAGCCACCAGTCCATACCCATGATAACCTATTACTCCATGAATTGATTCACCCATTCATGAGAGCGTAGTCCTCCTCACAATCCAGTCAGCTCTTAAAGGCCCCACCTTTCAAATACCATAATCAGATTTCCCACCCTCTTAACACTGTTACATTGTAGATCAGGTTTTCAGCACATGAACTTTTGGGGGACACATTCAACCTGTAGCACTTATATAGTTAACGGATAATGCTTTTTGATATTTTAGAGAAAGATTTTTGATATTTTGTGTGCGGCATTTCGAACTGAAAAACATCCCCTGCTTTTCAGACAACACAACAAAATAAGAGCTAGCCATACACTAATGGGTTTCTCTAGATGGTGTGTTATTCTAAGAACTTTGACTGTGTTTGGAATTAGTATTAAATCTATATAACTTGATAGCATTAGAATTAGTGAGACAAAGTAAAAATGTATTGAAGAAAGAATCTCTTTGTTATGCGCTGTTCTCCTTTCTTGTCCTTTTAATTGATAGAAAAAACAGAGTAATGATACTGTGCCTTTTTAATAATAAATATTCAAATTTATTTAGTTTTAGGAAGAATAATGAATTTGTTGAAATGTTTTTACCTCTTTCTCATAACATTCATAAATATGTATTTCTTAAATTTAATATCAGTTTTGTACTGTTATTCAGATATATTGAATGACATTTTAAAGGACAGTAGATATGCTAACATGCTGCAATTTCTGGCTTTTTCTCTTTCAGTGTCTGTATTTATGCTGAAAGTCCAGGTGAATGACATCATCAGTCGTCAGTACCTGAGTCAAGCAGTTGTAGAAGTGTTTGTAAACTACACAAAGACAAATTCCACAGTAACTAAAAGCAATGGAGCAGTGTTGATAAAAGTACCCTATAAATTAGGACTCAGCTTAACTATTATTGCTTACAAAGATGGCTATGTGTTGACCCCTCTGCCTTGGAGGACTGGAAGAATGCCAAGTAAGCACTTAAACAGTGTTTTATATTCACTAAATGTAAATGATTTTTTTTTCTTGTTCTGGTAAGCTGAAAATGACAGTGCCTGAGTGACATCGATATAAGGAGGTTCGAAATGTGTGCCAGTTTGAAGAAAAATTATCTTAGTCTGTTTGGGCTGTTACAACAAAATACCAGGAACTGGCCAGCTTATAAACAAAAATTTATTTCTGACAGTTCTAGAGGCTGTGAAGTCCAAGATCAAGGTGCTAGCAGGTTCAGTGTCTAGTGAGGGCCCACTTTCTGTGTTATAGATGCACCTTCTTGCTGTGTTCTCATATGGCAGGAGGGGTAAACGAGTTCCCTTAGGCCTATTCTATAAGGGTATGAACCCCATTTATGAGGGCTCTGCCCTCTTGACTTAATCACTCCCCCAAAGGCCCCACCTCTTAATATCATCACTTTGAAGGTTGGGATTTCAACGTATGAATTCCGGGGGGACAGAAACATTCAGACCATATCAGTCATGAAGGCATTTTTCCTTCTAAAGAGACTTGAAGGAATCCTGAGCATGAGCTATGCTCCATACAAAGCTTGTCTGCAGGGAGGGGTGGGGGGAGAGGTTGGCCTGCTCAAAGGATTTGTGAGAAGCAGGGTGTGCCAGGTCAAGTGGGGCCAGATGATAAAAGGATGTTCTCAAAAGATGAGAAAAGAACAGTTTAGATTTATGTGCTCAATAATAAGGCATTTATTATAGATTCTTGAGCACAGTGATTTTAGGTTGTTTAGAAACTGGACTTACTCAACAGTGTATAATGATAGGCTAGCAGCCGGGCTAAAATGGATCCAGGAGCCTGGCTAGGAAGCTGTGGCAGTGCTCCTGGTGTTCAGTAACAACAGCCTGAAGCAAGAGAGGGAGCGAAAAGATGGGGTGAGTACAAGAGACATACTGAAGAAAGAACTGGTAGGACTTAGAATGACTAATTGAATATTGGGAATCATGTGCCATGCAAGATACCAGGATACAAGTCTGACTGGTTGGAAGGACGATATATTAGGTAATCAGTCTTTTTCTTCTTTTTTTTATTAGGTGGTTTTTGTGGTTAGAATTTAGATATTTTATTTGGTTTCATATTGGAAATATTTGAATTCTTGGACCATTATATAAATTTTGAATGAGAGATAAAATGAAAAATAAAACAATTTAATAAAATTCAAACAAATAAAACTTTAATAAAGCCATAACTAGAAAATCAGAATAGGGATGTTTGAGGTAAGTTCATGGTTTAAATGCTTCAGTTTTTTTCAAAAGAGAGAAATTAAGCACAACTATTCATTCAAAAAGTTAGGAAAATAACGAAGAAACCAAGTAAAATAGAAAAAAGGAATTTTAATTGAATTACTGAGTACAAAATTAGCATTGATACAAATCAATACATGTTCTTATATACCAGCAGTAGTAAACAGTTAAGAAAAATAATGAAGTCTTTCTCAGAAAAAGAACAAACAAAATATGCAGGAAAACCTACCCTGCAAAATGTAAAATTACTATATGTATGGGGAAATGAAAACTACCACTGTTATTAATTACCTAAAAAATCCAAATAAGCTAAAACCATGGATAACTGGAAAAACATATTTCTTTTTAGGAAGCCTGAATATTGTAAAGATTTCAGTTCCTCCCAAATTAATTTAAAGATTTATTTTTTTAATTTGACAGAACGATCTTTGAAGAATAAATGGGTAAAGATATCTGGGGCTGTTTTTAAAGATTTACTAGGTTATATTTGCCATTCCAGACAACTAAAATATTATATAGCTACAAAATTAAAACTAAGTGATACTGTTCTATGATTTGTACTTTGGTACAAATTGGACACGTAGTTTGTATAAAAATGTAATCTGTGATAGGATGCCATTATAAATCATTGAGAAAAGGCTGCATGATCAATAAGTGGTATTGAGATATTTTGGTTAACTGTTTGAAATAAATTAATTGGATCCACATGCCAAAATGTATTGCTCAAAGAGATCAAATGTGAAAATCAAATCATAATAAACATAAGAAAATAAATTATCTGATCTTTGAATTTGCTTAAGAGCAGTAAAAGATGTCATAAAAGGTTGCTATGAGCATTTTTTTTTTTAAAAGCAGAGTCTTGTACAACAAAACAAAAAGCTGAGGTTGAAAAAATATTTGAAATAATAAGGGGTGATATTTTTAATATGCAAAGAATTCATACAAATTAGTAAGAAAATGCCAAGGCCATACCTGAATAAGGTTAAAGGACAAAATCATGGCCTGGCAATTTTCAAAACAGGAAATACAAATGATTAGTAAACATGACAACATGTTTTATATCCCTAATAATCTGTACATCAAAGAAATACACACTTCTTAGATTTTTCGCCTTAGAAAAGATTTTAAAAAGTGATTGTCCTCAATATTGGCAAAGCAAGGTAAGATTGGTATTCTCAAATATTGTGGATGGGAGTACAAATTGGCAAAATTATTTGTGTAAGTTTTGAAATGTGTGTGTGAAAGTCTTCAAAATCTTCATAAACTTTAACCTAGTATTCTACTGCTAGGAATATATCTTCAAGACAAACATTCAGAAGTGGACAGACATTCGTGCACCAGGATGTTGATTCTAATATTTTTGTAATAATAGTTAAATGGAAAAATCTAAGTCTATAATATTAGTACAATGATAAAATAAATTTTGACACTTTAACAAATGAAATATGTGACCTTAAAAATGTCATGAAACATTTCTGTTGAGAGACAGAAATGCTTATATTAAATGAAAAAAGCAGAGTAAAATATTCTGTATACATTACCATGCTCCCTATTTTAAAAAAACAAGAAAAATCAAGGAAGAGTTGTACTAAAATATTATTAGTGGTTGTTTCTGTGGTGGTATTATGACGACCGTCATTTTCTTCTTTTCTTTATTCCTTAAGTTTTTCGTATTCCTTAAGTTTTTCATTGCTTTTATAAGAAGAAAAAATTAAGTAAAAAGAAATCTGAATGTAAGTTTTATCAAGGTTCAGAAACATTCTCCTCGGGTTTAACAGCCCTAAAAAGCTTATCAGGGCTGTGCCTTTTAAGCTACCTGTGACTGAGAAAGTATCCAAATACGGGATTATGCCCTACTTATAATTATCTTGAGGTGTAAGGTACAACCCCACTATTTCCTCCCCAATTAACATAATCCATTCACTAGTCTAAATGTTAATGTATTCTAAAATTGAAATTATACTTTCATTTGGTAGTTCTTTTTTCCTGTGGAAGGAAAAAATAGTTATTTCGTTTGACTTCCACCCATCACTACATACTTTTTGTATTTTATACTTTTTTTGTTGTTGTTGTCCTTTTTTTTTTGTCTTTTTTCGTGACCGGCAATGGATCGCAACCCTCAGTGTCGCGCCCGTACTGGACCGGGACCGGCAACGGGATCGCAACCCTCGGTGTTGCGACCACACCTCACTCAGCCAGTGAGTGGCCGGTCTGTTTGTGGGATCCGAACCCTTGGCGGGAGCGCCGCCACGCTCCCAAGTGGCGCACTGTAGCAGTGCGCCACCGGGCCGGCCCTTGTATTTTTTACTTTTTAACATTTCCTTTAAAGCTCTTTGAGATATCTTAAAATATTAAAAGTATTTATGCAAAAGTGTTTTATCTTAAGAGCTTTGAGGATACTGGGTTTTTCTATTAATTTTAAATACTTATATAACATAGAGGAGAGATATCAAATGAGAACTCATGCCTTGGGTAACTCCTCAAAGTTTATTTTTCTTTTGCAGGATTGGTCAGTTTATCTGATTTTTTCCTCTTGCTTATGAAGGGGTCTTTTGTCCCAACTTCTTGCTTCTGATCTTGAAATAATTTACTTGTCTTTTAGGTGATCTGCACTTACTCATCCCACCAGTTACTTGTATTTCAGGTGCCTACTCCTGTAGACAGGTTCAGCCCCATCCTGAGTGTTACTAACTGTTGCCTATGAATCATTGTGTGTTAAACTCTTTCCTCCTCTGCCAACCCAGAGTCCTTTAGACAAAACACAGCGTGTGCAGAAGAGCATCGTGCTCTTATGTGGAAAGTTAAAAATGAACAGTGAATGTAGTCTCTATCTAGAGAACCTTGAATGCTGGAGTCAAGAAACTTTAAAAAAAAATCATAAGAAGTAAACAGCAAGTAACAATATAGAGAAAATAGCAGAGGGTTATTCAAAGCATTTAACTTGATCATTTATATCTGAGGTTAGTTAAAGAATATCACTTGTCACTTTGGTAAAAACTACTGTATGAAATAGAAAAGATTAGTAAAATAAAATAGTGATGTCCAATGTTTTCTTCTCACTTTATTGTGATTTTTTTTCTCCATCATATTTTATATTCATTCTTCCTTTGTTTTGAATTGCTCTTCCCATCAAATAGTTTGCTTGTCCTACTTTTTAGGACTTGCTGTAACAGAATTAAATTTGTCCCAGTTTTTTTCCCCCCACTCTAAATATTCTAATTGTGCTGTACTTCACAGTCTATTCATCAGTTACACTTTCTCTGTTCCCGCAAAGCCAAGCAAATATATGGCTATTTGAAGACACTGTTTTAATTACTGGAAAATTAGCTGGTAAGTACATCTTCATAAACACTTAAAGTGATTATTATGTAACTATACTTCTTCATTAATCAATATTGACATAACTTGGGAAAAAATCTAAATTGATTAGTGATGATTAGTACTGACTATAAGTTGATCTAAATTGATTCTTATTTTACTGTCAAACTATAGTATACATTTTTTGTGTGCTTGTAGTAGGAATCATTTTCTTCTTTACTGTTTTAGCCCCCCAAGTAGGAATATTGGACTTTAGGAAATGTTGGAAAGAGTTTCTGTCTGTCCTTTCTAAGTCATTTCTCTTATTGGGGCTTCTTTAGTGATTGGTGAAATCAGGAGAAGGGAAGAACACATGTCACTCAGACTTTTGGGGCTCTCTAATCACAAGTCACCTCCATTCCTGCCTCTTGTGTTATTCTCACTACCTGTGTGAGCGGGGCCTGAGACGAGGTCGTTAAATATCTGCTCAGCAGACATGATATGCCCCACTTGCATGTCTCAAGGGGAAGAAGGCAGAAAGCCTTACTTTAGGCACTAATTCAAGCTGTGTCCTCCAATTCTTCTTTACTAACATGATGATGATAGTTTTATCCTTATCTTACCTCTCTGTACCCCTTAATTGGTGCTTAGGAGGAACCCACAATTCTGGAACTCTATTACTGCATGTTATATAAAACCTTTATAAATTACAACAATTTGTTTTGTGTTGGTGAATTAATGTTTAGGTCTAAAGCATAATGGGAATAACTGGTAAAAGCAGAAAATCCTCAAGGTAGAGTTCAGTAAGAGTGTCATGGTAAAAAGAACTGTTTGTGACAGTTCTTCTCATTTTAAGATGCTATCATATTTATTCTTAAAGTATTAAATAAGAAAACCTAATATGATTATTTGGAAACAGTTTAAACTAGGGCTTGATTAATCTTGGAGTAATTTGTTGAGTGAGATTGTAGAGTCTCTTACTCTTGAAATGCCAAAGCATTTGGCAGAATTTTGAGCCACTGAGTTTGCTCGTGTATGGCATAACAGCGGATGTGCAGTCATTTGTGGAAGTATGGAAAGTAAATAGGAACCACATGTCTGCTGAGAGAGGCTACATTTTATGCTGCTGGGGCCCTAATGAAATCAGGTTCTTCATAGCCTCTCTTCAGTTTTTTGTTTTGACACATTCCTACCCAATACTGTCCTTTTCAAAGCCACTAGAAATCATAGTTTCTGCTGGAACACATGAACTGGATAACTGTGAGCATGTCTGGTACCACTGCTTTGCCACTGCACCAAGTAAGTTGTCTGCACAGTACTAGCCGTGCCTTGGCAGGTCTGCATGACAACACTTCTTAAGTTATCAGCTCACTTCCTTCTACCATCTCATTTCCCTAAGTAAGAGGTGACCCACTGGTAAGGACAAACAGGAAAAGATGGATGTTTCTGATGTTAAATCTTTCCATAGAAAATGTATATCCTTGCTTCTTCACTTCCATAAAATGTTTGATCAGGAAAGTGTTCTGTTTGTACAGTGAAAATGTGTTAGGTCTCCATGTGCATGTATTTGTGGTAAAAGAGTAGGAGAAATTGGAAACATTAAGAATGTACAAAATAGTAGAGAAGCTCATCTAGATATTTCGCTTGGTGTGCATGTTTTCAGTTGTAAGAAATTTGTATCTTCAAGGTCGTTAAGCCACATATTTTTTTTGTGTGTGTGTGTGTGTGTGTGACCAGCCGCACCACGCTCAGCCAGTGAGCGCTGTGAGCGCACCAGCAAACCCTATATAGGATCCGAACCCGCGGCGGGAGCGCTGCTGCACTCCCAGCGCTGCACTCTCCTGAGTGCACCATGGGCTCGGCCCTAAGCCACATATTTTAAAAGAGCAAGTTGTAGATAGTATGTGTAAGTGATTAGAAGGTTATCAGATTGTACCCTCAAATAACTTAATCAAATAGGAATGTATATCATTTTTCTTAACTATTTTTCAGGTACTTTTGTATGTAAAGCTACGAACTAATTTAAAGAATTATTGTACATTATTTTGTTTATCATTTATTGTTATGCAACTCCTTAAAAACTGATAATTTTTTATCCTAATAATTTAACTGATTGCTTCTGTCTTTATTAGTGATCTTATTAAAGTGCAAAGCAAAAGCTGATGTTTCTGATAAATTTTAGTTTTAATAAGTTGATGTGTTGATCACAGAAATATTAATACAGTCACTAAGTTTGCACTTAATTTAGAAGATAGTCAATTCACAGTTACTGAAATGAAATATTTACAAATTGAGTACTTGGCATTTGTAAGAGTTTCAGTGCATGATTAGTTATCTGATACAGAAACCTACCCACTTACGTATGTGGCTGAATATCATCAAAGACACTTTCTGTTGCGAGTTGCTGAAAACCCAGTCTTAAACTAGCTCAAAGGAAACATTCATTGATTTCTGAAATAATAGGTACATGTAGGAGTAGGACCAATTTTAGACATGACTTGATCTGGACTTCAGTCAAAATAATTGAAAACTAGTTTTTCTCTCTCCATTTCACAACTCTCAACACTTTGAATATTGCTTTAATTTTCAAACAAGTCCTCATTTTTGGTCATAAGATGGCTGTTGCAACTCCAGATAGATATCCGCTCAAGTAAAATGCAGTGGGAGAAAAAGCAAAACCGAAGTCCAAGCAAAACTCACATTTCATCGTATTAACTGTGCTAGGGAAAAGGCCCATCATTGAGCAAATCACTTTGGCCAAGAGAATAATGAGATGCTTTTGATTGGTTTCAGCCCATTCCGCCATGCACTACCAACTCTACTCACATTACAGAAATGAAGCCTCAAGTGAACCATATGGTCTAAAAATGGTCAGCATGTGGTTCCCTATAGTGAAACCTGAAAAAGAGTGAATAAATTGTGGGCAGCAGAATCAAGCAGTTTTTAGTACAGAGGTACCTCGTATGATCTAAAGAAAGGAAATTTTTTTATTTAGTCAGTTCTGAGTTTAAAATAATAATTATATGAGGAAATATTAGTGATGTTTAGAAATAACTACTTCCTTTAAAGTAAAATGTCCTGACCAATGATGCTGTGCTTAATATGCATTTATCTGTTAACAAAGTTTCCTTTTTCCAGATGCCAAATCTCAACCAAGTGTTCAGTTTTCAAAAGACTTAATTAAACTTCCTGACAACCATCATATCAGCAATGTTACTGGCTATCTTACAGTTCTACAACAATTTTTGAAAGTGGACAATTTTCTGTATACAACTGGAATTACTCTCACTAAACCAGGTATTAATTTTTACATAATATAATCAGTCATATTTATAAGAAACATTAGTACCTAAGTCATATCTTAATTTAAGCTAGACAATACATGTCACTGTTGAAACAAATGTAGTTATTAAAATGTTTATATGCAATTCCCTATTATCCAGTGAAGGAAAGATTATACCAGAGTCTTTAGCATACATTATTTCAAATTAATGGGAATTTCATTTAATTTTATTTAAAGTCATTAAATTTCATTTGAAAGCAAGGTATAGAGAATAGTTATGATTATTGTATAACTTTGCAAGTTAAAAAATTCATTTAAAATGGAAATTTGATTTAAAGAAATTCATACATATTCCAGAGTCACTAGCTCTGATATATTTATATGGCTGTCATGATTTAAAAGTTAAGGGAATGATGGAATTTTATGTTCTTTTAAGAATACATCCGTGATAAAACAGTCTGTATTCCCACTACATCCACACTTGTTCCACAGTTTCTAACTAGTTGTTGCAACATAATTGTAACACCACTGTTTAAAACCACCTCAGACAATCTATAATTTTGATGGTTTCAGTTGTGTCAAATTTTTGTTCACCTTATTTGGGAGAAGAGCCAGAAATGAAAGTAATAAGGGCAAATAGTTGTTTTAGTTAGATAGGGTTGTTTTTTTTTTTTTAACCTGGTCCAGGAAGCAGGCTTGGCCCTCACATGAGGCAAGTACTCAACCAATGGCAGGTGAGTTGGTACATAAATACTCCAATTTCCTTGCCTTGCCTAGGACAACTCTGAGCCAGCTTCTGTCCCCAGTGTGACTGAGTTGGAGTTGCCATAGTGATAACCTCCTCATTAACACATCCTGTGTTGCCTTCCTTCCCTCTGTATCATGCCTCCACTCCCTTAGTGGTAGGTGCTTCCTGAGATTACCTCCCAAACAAACTATTTGCACTCATATGGTTATCTCAGGGTCTGCTTCTTGAGGAAGGCCATCTAAGACACCTACCAAGATTTTCCAATGTAAGTTACAGGATGCTCAAAATAAAAACATTTACAAGAATGATACCAATACAGAATGGTACAAATGAAGCTCATGTTGTGCTAGAAGGTGTTTGTGGACAAGACTCATTAGATTCAGTAGGAAGGAGTCATAATAAGCTCTGCCTACCCCCCCAACATTCCTCTACTACCTGCTTTTGAGATTATTCATTAAATGTTTTGATTTTCCTCAGAATGCTGCTATCATTAAAAAGTTATATAGCAGTGCTGCCTAATGAGAATGTTCTTCTGCTCTAACATAATAGCTCCTAGCCACGTGTGGCTGTTGAGCTCTTGCAATGTGACTAGGGCACTGAGGAACTTGACTTAAAAATTTAAATAACCACACACAGCTGGTGGCTACTCTCTTGGATTGTACAGTTCTAGAGTTCTGTCAATATAAAAGTCTTCTTTTATAAAAGTTTTTTTGCTCCATCTCATTGTTCTTCAGTGTCTTTTTTCCCTTGCACCATTCTCTTTTCCTTCTTTTTTGAGTGGCTTTATCTCAAATGATGAGGTGGCAATCTCAGCACTTTGTGAAGCCACTGACTGTGGAGTTGAGGGTGGGGGGGTCGGGTAGAAGCAGGCACTTCAGGAAGCCAGCCAGCCGGCTTTCCTAAGTAGTTTGATACATTCCAGTTTCTTAACAGATGATGTAACACTCGATCTGTATTTACATTGAATTACTTACAAGTGTACTGGTCTGCAAAATATGTAGGGCATTACTTTGCTCATCTGATATTAACGTTTCAGACAAATTACTGCAGATAATTCTCTTATATTTAAATGAAATTTTTCAGTAAGCCAGTAGTTGTCCTGTCTCATAGCAGAATGCATATGCCAGATGATAACAGTAGTGACAATGAGAATTCCTTTCTATGGCCTCCAAGGCCCTACACGGGTGCCTCTCTCTCCTGCCTTCTATTTGCGTAGCATTCTTCCTCTCCTCTCCTCTCCTCTCCTCTCCTCTCCTCTCCTCTCCTCTCCTCTCCTCTCCTCCCCTCCCCTCTCCACCCATCCATGCCTCTTTTCTCATCTATTTCTTACTTTTCCTTTCCCTGTCCCAGAAAGGTGGCATGGTGCAATGGAAAGACCACGGGCTTTGGAGTCAACCAGACTGGGTTTGAATCTCACCTGTAGCACTTCCTAGCTTTGTGATCTTGAGCAAGTCACTTTACCTCTCTGAACCTCAGTTTCCCCATCAGTGAAACAGGAATATGAATAGTACCTACCTCATTGGGGTATAAGGATCAAACAATATGGCAGAAGTAGAGTGTCTGACATATGGTAAATATCCAGTACATGGTAGGAGCTGTTACCATTATTCCTATCTCTTTGTTTCTCTTCTCCCCCCCACACACCATCGTCCCTTTCTCCTTTTCCCCTTTCTCCTTTCCCTCCCTCTGTCTCTGGCTCTCTCTACATCTCAGAGCAATGCTTGCTGCTCTCAAGACTGGTTCCTGTGGGCAGGAACCCCATTTGCCATTAACCAGAGCAGGGGGCTCCAACAAGGAAGACCAGAGGGAAAGCTTCATTTCCCATTTTCTGCTGTGGGAATCAGGGTCAGCTGAGGCCCGGCTTGAGCCTGACCACTGGGCCCTGATAGCTCAGGCCTGGGGTCCCTGGTACACCTCTCTGTCCTAAATACCTCACCTTGATATCCACCCATGCTGGCAATGTCACCCTCACCCTCAGTACCTGTCCTTGCTCTCCAGC